AATACTCCTCATTTGACTCCAGGCATAAAATCTACTCGTGCACTTAACTGAGAGTTTCGGTTACAGATTTGATCTGAATTCATTACAGTGTTGATTGTTATTTACGTGACTTAAAAGCATTCGGAAGATGTCATTTAGAGCGTCGCGGTTGTCGAAAATTGTATGAACTATTGTTTTTACTCGGTTAAAGTTCACTAAAACCTAAAAGGTAATCGCAAAATCATTACAAACTCGCAGTCGCCGTCGAATTAAGCGTATTAAAAAAAAGTCATAAATTTTTTAGCTGTAAAACGAGAAGATGTAATCTGATTGAACTACTTAGTGGATGGGATTCTCGTAAATTTTGATTAAGATCTCTGTTGGATTATTTCGAGACATCTGGACTAATCCCGTCCGATAGGAACTGGAGTACAGCGCAAGAAAACGAAGTGTTCGGGTTGTGTTGTTTGCTTTGTTTTTGGAACGTCCGACACGATGTATATATTTTCAAGCTTCTTGCGCGGCCATAATTTCGTTTAAATCAGACGTGCTCTCCGAAAACGCCTACTTACTGTAAGAGAAGCGAATGTATTTGCATTAACGACGTACGACATAGTTCGAAATCGGTTAAAACGAATACAATACGCGGCGTTTTTATTGCGCGAGAAAAGTTGGGAAATTGTTTTGGCGGCAAAATATGTGTTATACCGATTCCACTACACAATTATTTTTTTCCCCAAACGACCAGCAATGACGTGTCATTGCAAACAATATCTCGCTACCAAATTACTCGGCTGTATATCAACTTTAATAGCCTCGAGGTGATTTATATGAGAACGTATATGGTACGAGCGAATTTCAATCCATCGAAGAAATAAATGTTGTGTATACGATGCATTACAGACGTGGGTATTACTGCACGTTGTTATTTACATTATAAAATAAACATACTGGTGCGCATATCGATAACGATGTTTTAAAGTGAATAAATAATTTTCGTCCTCGCTTTTTATGTGGAATCATTTTTCAAATAAACACGTTGGTACGAATCAATTCTCGGTTTGCGCTGCACTGAACAACGATTATTCCAACAATATTATCAGACCGTATTCGTGTACGTGATATTTAATATAATTGCATGTTATGTAAAATATCGACGTTCAGACAATGTTGTGATTGAAATCAAAATAAAAACGTTATTCGATAACAAGGTAATAACGATTGTAACGCATTAAATTAAATTGCATAATAATAACGACTTGGGTTCGTATCGAAGTCGTTCTACGTAATAAATTAATAAAAACTGTATTATGAATATATATAATGTATAATATATATAATGTATTATGATTATGAAATAAACTTAATTTTTAATATTCCAAAAGTTGAATATATCAGTGTTTACTTTGTTCACTCTGCGCGCATGTAATGTAATGCATTATTAGTGTGGCCTTGTTTGCGTGCGTGTACACGATTTGCCTACCCGAGACGCCGTCTTTAAAGTTAAGGTTATTGTGTTATTCTTATGAATTCAATCATATCTTACTGTAAAAGGGGTTTACAGAAATGTTAAACTATTTTCTGATGTGCATAATAGTATAGTGTATTTGATTAAAGTTTTATATATTACAAATATACTTTAATGGAAAGTAATATGCTGTTAAGTCAGTACTACGGAGTCTATAGTTTTCATTTAAATATGGCTGAACGGTAATTCATGTCAAAAATATGAATAGAATAACAATAAATACAAATGAAATTATTCCACTAGCTTGATTAACTGTCATTGGTATTTCATGTTTGGTTTTATTCGTTATTGTTACCTTTTGTCAATACAACGTGTGTTGTTTTTTAATTAACGAATTATTATACTTAGGGCGTTATTTTGGCTATTTGTTATTTTTTATGGAATAAAAAATACCCCGCAACAATAAATAAAACACAATAAACGTCATAGCTGTGTAATAGATCAAATAACAAAAGTTATTATTTTATCATTTTTTGTTGTTTTCGTGTTTTGTAGTACGAGTCAAACTGTTTTTCTATGTTGGAATAAAACAACCAATATCGAAGAATACGCTGAAGATTAATGAAAACACGAGACTGTTTTTTAAATATTCCCGTTGGCTTATGATAATTAAAATGGGAAAAAATTATTAATAAAAAGTTATTTTTACTGAAAACGTTCAACTCGTATTATTATATTGTAGTTTTCAACGGTTTAGTAAAATTGTTGTTGTTATAATTTTTTAACTTTAAGCATAATGACTAATTAAAACTCATCAACGAGTTTATATAATGAAATTTTTTCCAATTATAATGCGTTATAATGGCTAAGCGTTTGTAAAATTACGGAAAAACATAATTAAAAATAGAGCAAACCGTTCACGTAGTGGCTAAACAATACTTAATAGGCCGAGGTGAACTATTGTCTTATCTACTCACTAAATGCTTTATCATCATTATATTTGGATGTGTTAAAACTCTCTTAGTTTTTTGAGTGGAAAGTAATATATAACGGAAAATTCGTAGCTGTTTAGAGTATAAAAATGAATATTGTTGATAAAAGATTAATTTTATTTTTTTTAGTAACCACTGTCCATTAGATTTGTTTATTAAAAAAAATATTAAATTCTCATCTCTGTGAAATGAACAGGAATTTTGAATGGTACCTTGTCACATCCACGTTAAGTAATAAAGCTTAGTATGTCACTTTAGGTTTGACAAACATTGTGAAAATGAAAAATGTAAAAGTGAAAAACAAATGGATCTCCAAAAGTGGTAGCAAATTGTTTTTTTTACGTTAGACTAATAAACAGACAAAATACAGAAAGTGAAGTAGAACATGTGTTTCTGACAAATTGAATTTTAAAATGAAGGGAGAATAATATCTACTAATGTAATTAAAAATAAACCAGGAAAAATTATAAAACAATAAAGCATTTTTCAAGTTTTTTAAAAGCTGACTTGCATTTCACAAAAATATTTCAGTAAAAGAAATGAAAAAATTTAATAATGATTCAGCAAAGAATTACTAAAAGATTGATGTGTAGTAAAAAAATCAAAGAAAATACGTAGTTTTATAAGAGTTTTGAGTCCATCAAAACCATTTTTTTTAGGTCTATCATATTTTTCTATCAAAGAAATAAAGTCAATTTTAAAAACTTTTATAGTGTTTCAGTAAAATCCACGAATTAAGTAAAATATATATTATTTTGAATTACGCTTTGTGTACTTTTCAAATTTTGAAAAGTACACAATTTTAATAGTACTGAATGTGGTACAAAAAATTTAAGTTGTATACACACAGTGTAATTTTATTAAGTTTACTACACTTATTATTTTTGTCAAATAATGATTTAATATTATATATTTATATAAATAGGTATAATTTTAGATTTTCACAATAAAAATTGCATTGGAGAGTACATTTTTGAAAAGCTATTGTAATTTATTAGTACGCAAGAACAGATTAAATTGAAACCTTATTAAACAGTCATCGAGATTTATATAAATTGTGAATTTTTTATATTTAGTTGGAATACCAACACTATTATCCTACACTTAGTATGACATTCTGCTTGAAAGCTATACCAGATAATTTTGATGTCGACTACACTAAATGTGAGAGGTGTTTTAAAGTAATTCATTTTATTTTAGTATTGTAATAATGCTCGATTTATCCACTGTTTAGTAATTTTTTGGTCCATCCTTATCTGTTATAGGGGTATCAAATTTTTATTTAATGGAAACAAACATATTTAACTAGGCTATAAAATAAAAACAAATGTTATTAAGAAAATAACTGATCGATAACAACCTTTGGACCAGTATTTCATAATCTTTTATTAATAATTTAAAGTAAATGCTGTAGGTGTTGAGTGTGAGCAGCTATTGTTATCATTAGGTATTTCTGGGTCGTAATCTTCTTATCGCCTAGATATGACAACAAGAATAACTTTAAAAGTACTGGTCCAAAAGTTATTATCGACCATTTACTCTCTTAATTAGACTATTTTCTTCTCTATAAGCTAGTTTAATATAAATGTTTGTAAGTTGACACCTCTGTAAAATATATAAGGGATGGACCTAAAAATGATTTTAAAACGGCTAAATGCAACTAACAAAATCCAAAATAAAATGTTCAAAAACCTTAATGTTATAAGAGAAATTGATTGGCTAGCGTTAAAAAAATCACACTGAATTCTCAACAGGATGCCTCGAAACATTGATATTATTTTTCGGTGCTGGCAAACAGTAAGCATTAAAACTTCATAGTGTTGATTTTTTATAATTTTTATAACTGTTAGACGTCCCTGTGATCGGAGTGTGCAACTCAAAGTCAAAACATTTAAAACGTCTCAACGGCTTACAAACTATCCGACGTTACGTTTTTCAGTTGTTTATTGTTTTCAGTTATTGTTATTGTTAATACCGAAAACAGTAGACACGAGCTGTCCGAACGGTACGGCTCAAGTCATTTGGACGGCCAACGTTTGTTTTAATATCAAAGTTTTTGCTTTTGCCGGTCTTCCTGTCGTTTTATTAATACTATTATTGTTATTATTATTCGTTCGTCACACGCAAACACCTACAAACAAACAATCTAAGTTTAGTGGAAAAAGTTAGTATTATAAACAAGTGTACATGAAGATTATATAAAACGACTGCTGCCGAATGAACTTTTTGAGCTTATAAAATAGTGTCGTCATTCTCGTGTCTGTTCACTGTCTATTCTGTAACAGAAATATATACACACACATATACATACACGTGTATGTGTGTTCGCACAGATATATGTATACATACAAGGGATTACTATTGCCTTAAGGGAGTGTAGAAAGAGCATTAAAAGTTTTTCTCCTTAATCCTTTTACGGGTGTTAATGAAACTGTGGCCACGGCAACAGCGCTACCGGCCGCCTAAGTAATTGGCGCAGGCGCCACCATGTCACGGGAACGGTTCCCGTGTATATTCGATCTGTAATCTTACTAATGTCTGTGTCGTGTTATGTGTTTCAGGTTCGAATTACTACCGTCGTCATTTGTTGTGGACAAGTATTGAAAGTGCAATAAACTCGAGGCGGGCGAGCACTACGATGCTCCACCACCGACGTGGTCGCGGTAATCGTGGACGCGGTGTGTGGTCCGACGTTATTAACAATCGTCCTTTTTGTGGCTGCGACGACGTGCTGAAAACGGCAGTGTCAGTGACGAGTGCTCCGGCGTTGGCCGACAAAGTTCTGTGGTCGTCCGCTGAATGAACAACGAAAAGCTTTATCCCGGCCGACAACTGTAACCGCACCGGCCAATGATCGTCGCCGTGTTAGTGGCCGCACTATGGTTGACGGTGAACGGACATGGTGGCGGAGCATCGGGCGCGACGCTCACTCGTATTGTACAAACACGGTACGGTAAACTTCAAGGCGTCGTGACCACTGTAAACGTTATGTCCAGACGAACGTCCACGAACGCGGCGTCTCCCGGAAACGATCCGGACGACGGTTCTTCGTTTTTGGACACGTTCCTCGGTGTACCTTACGCTACACCACCTGTCGGGTCCAATCGGTTCGGTCCCACCCGTACGCCGTCTCCGTGGGACGGAGTTCGTCTGGCCGACGCGTTCGGCGCCGTTTGTCCCCAACGTTTACCCGATATATCCAACGAAACGGCCGCTCTACAACGTATGCCCGTCGGTCGGTTTGTTTACCTGAAAAAGCTGCTGCCTTACTTGCAAAATCAGAGTGAGGACTGTTTGTACCTGAACATCTACGCGCCGTCACAAGGTTAGTGAAAACATGTTATACATAAGGTGATTCACAATCAAATCGAATAAAAAACACTTTTTGCCGTACAAACAAAGATGATATTGCGGTGATTTCATTTTGAGCTGTTGTCTTTCAAAACCCGGCAACAAACAATCAACGAGTGAAAGCCTCGTTTAAGGCCGTCAAAGTTTTCTAGTAGAGGGGAAATATAAAAATCCCTATAAAATCCACTTGGCAAACTTATAAGAACTAAACGTCGTTTATCAGAAACTAGTAATTTATCGCGCGAATGTGCTATAAAATATTTTATTATTACATGTTGAAGTTTTTTTTTGTCGGAAAATAAAAAAAAATACTTGCCAAAATAAAGTTAGAGATTTTATTATTCTTTAAAATTAAAAAGTTTGAGTTATATTAGTCTTTTGGTCGGTCGTGCAATGTCATGTACGTCGGTATGGTTACCGAGAGGAAATATTACTTTGTGTTTCATATTAATAAACATGCGCGTATTGTATTTATAATATATAAATATCATAAAATATGTATTGTGTATACTTTATGTGGTTCTGATAACATTTACTTGTGCTTACGGAAACTATAAGCTCTCCTTTTGTGAAGCCATGTGTGTACATGTAATGTATACTTTATAAATGTCACTCAATTGTTATGCATTGAATTTTATCGACAAGAATTTATCACAGTTTACTCGAGGAGAAAATTAAATTTAAATACTTACACTTTATGCCTAAAAACTAACAGAAACCAGTGCAATAGTTTAATTAATACACTTTAGATTCTTTAAAAATGCCAATTACTTAAATATATTTTATCGAATAAAATGATAATTTAACTACATAAAAACAGATTAATTTCAGATCTTTACTGGTAATCACTATTTTATCAAATAAGTTCAATACACGTTACCATAAATAAAAAAGTATGAATGGATAGTTAAATAATTTAATGATATTATAATGTGCGTGAACTTTTTGAATTTGAATAATTCGTGTACAAAAATGTTTAAATTATGAAAGATATAAACTAAATTTAAACAATGAGTCCACTTTTTAGAAATTATTTTCTTTCGACGAAGTAAAAAAAACCAAACACAAACAGAAATAAACGTAAAAGAACTGGGACAATATTGTTTCAACTTTTATAATCCATTTAAAATGCTGTCAAGCTTTAAGATTAGTCACTGAGTTATTGTTTATTTTGAATTGTACGAGGGAACGTGCGATAATTCCATCTATCAAAGATAGGAATGCGTGTTCCAAAATAAAAGCCAACAAAAACCAGACAAAGAATGTTTGGCTGTAGAAATCAATAGGATATCTTTTAAATAGGTTTTGAATCTCACTAAATACATACACAAGATATTAATGTTTTATATTAAAATTAACAATTTTATAATTTATTAAATGAAAAAAAAGAATTTGGTATCTTTGAATTTACGGAGTTTTAAAAATGTAAAAAGTCATGTAATTATAATTTTGACGCAAGTTTTCGTTCCGTGTCAATTTCAACGATATGTAATAGTTAAGTAATAGATAAACAAGTGTAAATAGTTGAATGAATTAGGTTTTTTCTCCCCTGAAGATGCGATAAATTCTATCGAATATTATTCGAATGTAATTTAAATGAAATTTCAATAAATATTTTTTGTTAGTATACTCTTTCAAATAACTTTTTAAAAATATTTCTACCAAACTTAATTGTGTAATAAATTTTCACAGAAATCATATTGAAAAACCACTGATGAATTAAATGATTTTTTTAATTATACATTTTCATTATTTTTATTAGTATTTGCTATCCAAGCAATTGATTTTTTATGAATTTTCTTTGCAGGCTAAATACATAAATTCAAATGTATCTAACACGATATAGGCACTTAAAAGATATTTACAGCGATTCATTGGCTTTATTTTATTTTATTCTAAATCTTTAAACATTTAGGATTGAGCGTGCAAATAAACATTTAAGTAAATTTAAAGTTAAACCATATCACCATTTAATGGCGTGTGAGTGAAATTCGTACAAACTTAAAATTGATAGTTTATACAACGAGAATAAGAAGTCAAAAAGTTCATAACAAATGTCTTTGATGGGCTCAATAAAATTGGCTGTAGTGGAGTTATTTATAATCGCATATTATTTTGGTATCATTACTCAGAGACTCAATGGCTGAACCAAATATAATTCACTGAGGATGCTCTGACGCGTACGTGGAATCGGATCAGCCGAATAGATTTTTGGATGCGATCAAATAAAATTAATTTACAAAGGAAGAAAACTATAAAACCTAAAACTCAATTACATTGACTTAATTGTGATGAAAAAAAATCACCTTTCATTTATACTTTAATATCTATCGAGTCCAACCAGTAATTTATCTAATGCAAAAGCTGTCAGCCCTTTAACGATAAACAATCTGTCTATTTGAGTTTTTTAATTACTTTTTTTTTTGTCACTGAATTAATCATTCGGTTTGATGACTTTTTTATATTTTAATTTTATAGCATAAGGCCGAACGATTATAATATAATGCAGAAAATCTAACGTAGTTTTTTTCTCAAACCTTTGTTCTCTTGAGTGAATTTATTTTTACTTAACGTGGAAATTTTCATTATATTAATTGATTATTATTCAAGTGATAATTGTGAATGAATTATCAAGTGTGTTATTTAAAATCTTAGAACGATTTTCTGATTTTTGAAAATACAATGTACCAATTAACATTTTATTATTATAAATGAATTCGCGCTTTAACGACATAAAAACAAATAGATAACTAATTTCTCAATGTTCTTTTGTATAAACGCACTATTTGTCCATTTAGTATTTGACTGGGTAGTAAAAACCCTCCAATGTTATTTGTTCTAAACGCCTCGTCGCTTTTATTCGCTTGTCTTTATTTTCTATAACATTTATCATTAGTCTATACGTACAAATCTAATAAGTTTATTTGACATGTTACTAACCAAATTTTAATATAGAATCGACCAGTTTCTCCATGGCAATATTATTATTTATGTCATATTTTACCAGATCTAAAAAGACAGTACAATTAAGTTATTAGTTCACCATATTTAATTATAACAGAAAAAACTCGAGGTGCACATTTTGTCAAGAGAGTGCCCATTGCGAACTAAATGACTTCAAATCGAATGCTATTTATGTCCAATGATACTCGTCTCTTATGGTAACTAGGAAGTCCATATTTCTGTGCAAACACTTTATCATATTTATGGCAATGAAATATTTTTACGCTAGTTTATTGTCATCGTACAAATAAATTTATATTTATGAGAAACATGTTCATTAAAGATTCGACAAATTAAGCATCTTTTTTCATAATTTACCAAGAATTTTCATCCGACGTTTTTAACACATACAACCATAATTAACAGTCTTTCCATATTATGTCACATGCTTATTATTACGAAAACCTACAATTATGGGTTGGGAGTATTTTCTAGATACAATTTATCCCTACTATTAAGATTTGGTGACATTGTTAATGTTAATTAAACTTTTTGTCTTTGATTTCTTAACACTTACTGTAGGTCGTATTGATTTCGACCAAATATGGTAAAGTTTAAATATATTTTGTACATGCCCAGATAGCCTCCTTCAATTAATATTTAAGTGCAGCTCAAAGACACAATATATTTACTGCAAGAAATTTTTTAACGTTCATAATGAAATATGTTATACGAGATCCACTTAAAACTGTCATCTACCTAGAAAGTTATTGCTCATTAAAGGTGAGCCTTCGTATTTTTGTGGCGAAATAATATGTTTGAGCCCTTTATAGTCCATTATGAATTATGGCTGTTGCCAGTTAAGCGCGAACAACATTGAACTTAATTATTTTTTTTTTCCTAAGAAAATTTCAGAAAGGTTACAATGAGAAGGTTTTTGTTATCATCGTTATTTTGTATTTATAATAATTAAATTTTCTTTTAAAAGTTCTTAAAAACTTTACGGTAGCGTGGAGTGATATAAGAAAAATATTGAATGGTAAAATTAATAAGAAAAGAAATAGTTAAATTTAACACCCCAGTAAAGGTAATATTTCTTAAACAAAACTTGTTGGCCATCAAGAAAAATTTAAAGAATTTCACTTAGACGTTGATAATTTATAACTTTTCTGTAATGGAAAAATTACAAACATATTCTATCCCATGTGTACAAATATGTTAGATACGTATAGTGGAATAATTATAATTTTAAAAACCACCCGAAATGTTGTCTAGACGTATACACAGTTTTTTGTTCTCGAGGGAAACACTTGTGGTATTTGTAGTATTTAACAGTAGAATTTAATGTATCCTCATATTTATGATGCTAACATTTCAGAAAATGTGATTTGTGTAGAACATTTTTATGAATAAAACTATTCTCGGTGAATTTTTTAACATTAGCCACTCGATTTTTCTTTAAGTATTATATTATATTAAGTAGTATTATATTAAGAAAGTCTTTTTGAAATTTTTAGTTTTATATATGTATTTCTCGATTTATCAACTATGAAGTATACTTTTAATTAATTCCTTATCAACTTTATTTTATTAATGGCAAAATATATATTTAACTAGCTTATAAAATAAAAACAATGATTTGATTAAGATAGTAACTGATTGATAACGACTATTGAAATAGTATTTCGAAAATTATTAACATATTTAAATGTAGAGTGGAGGTGACCGAACAATACGTAATGATAAAAAAATTTATAAAAAATAAAATGAAAATTTGATTTCCTGATAATTTTGAATTCATTTTTATATAAGTCGAATGTCTGAATAATATATAACAATTATTTAAATGTATAAAAAAAAATATTCGTACACTCATTGTGCAGTTAATATTTCATTTTACACTTAACACAAAACAAAAGAACATAAACGTAAAGAAAATAATGAATGTAATTCTTTGAGTAGCTACTTAAAATGATTAAATACAAGTGATTTATTTGAAACTTATACTAAACAGAAAAAGCTACTTTTGGA